ATGATATTTAATGCATTGTCAACTAAAATCAAGCAGTTTCAGTTTTTCTGAAATTCACAGGACCAAAAAAGGCCCTAAGTGAACCTTGTTCTTTAATATTGAAACCACTACACTAGCGCAATGTACCAGCCATCATCGATGTTTACCTTGTACTCATTCCCTGAAGTAACGAGTGCCAGGCAGGTTAATTTTTTTTCTTATAGTGCGGAATTATAGGATGAAAACTAGCCAGCTAAATTTTGTGCAAGTGCTAGTAGATTTACATCGGATTTGTTAATTGAGTTTTAACAATAATGATAGCAGAGAAAATAATCTGTTACTAATAAAAACTAAAAAAAAAACTATTGTGTTTACTTCCTTCATTCTTTATGCATTCAACTTTCTATTCTATGCAATTCCAAATACAGACACGTCCGTGTAATCTTTTTCTGTACTTCTACACTACTGCATCAGACCATTTGTGAAAGGCGGGTCACGATACATTATTTCGCGCCAAACGTCACGAGTAAATCTTCGCGCCTTTTCTTTGAGATGTGTCTTCAATTGAATAAGTGTAGGTGATAGCTTCAATGAAATTTTAAAAAAAATATGTTGCTATAGCCTGATTTTCGAGCCTAAGAATGTGTATTTATCACACTGTACATATAACATATCGTAAACGGGCAAGTAACATAAAGGCAGCGCTAAGTTTTCTTACACATTTCATATTCCTCTTTACCCCCAAAGTGGATTATTCCAATTAGTAACACATTAATGAAAAGACTGGAATGTTTTGCAACAAAACACGTCTCGCCATATGACGCTCAAGGAATCTGATACCTATTCTGTTCGGTAACTTGCATCTATAAAGGAATATAACCCTACTAAAATCAAAGAAAAATATTGAAAAACGTAAAAGTTGAAAAAATTGATTTTTTAAATTCGCTTCCGGTAGCGTTCAGAAGTAATTACGACGCACGAAAAGGCAAACCCGCATATCTAAAAGTCATGTTCTATGCTCTCCAACAAGTCTCCAGTTCATATCTTTAGCCGTTCTTTAGATCTCGCGCGGATAAAATTTCAATTCAAAATCAGAAAAATGTCCATAACTTGGAACCGGAAGCGAATTTCTCCAAAATTCTTTCAAATGTAACAATGGCATTTTATGGCGCATTATCCCTGAAAGTTTGATGAAAAACCACTGAATAGTTCTCGAAATATTGCGTGCACAAAATTTGTCTAAAAATTAAGAATAATAATAAGAAGAAGAAACAGTAGAATCACTATAAGGTCTTCCGTGAAGACGGAAGACCTTAATAATAGAAAACAGACGGAAAACAATAAGGTCTTCCGAAGGAAGTCGGAAGACCTTAACAAAAAGGTCGTCCGCAGAAGACGAAATGCATATCTGCAGACATAGTTCTATCATAGCTGAAAGTTTCATGATTCTATCTAGAGCCATTCAGGAAAAATTTCCGGACAATCTGACCCTTCAAAAATCATTAAATCGAAAATATCTCCGGACCGGAAGTGACGTCATCGAAGCGGAAAAAAACCGCATAAGGATCAAGTGATGATACATAAGTTCTGAAAGTTTAACGGAAATCCATCCAGCCGTTTTCGAGAAATCGCGTGCACAAAATTGGTAAGAAAAAAAATAATAACTAGATGCGTTTCTTGTTGCTAGGGCAACAAGTGTTCTTCTCCAGAACGCTACGCTATATCACTTCATTTAATACTTTATTGCAAGTATTTTTCTTTTGCGTTTATGTAACACAGTCTTTCAACATAGATCATAATTATTAAAGGATTTCTGTAGAATCTCTGTTTACAAAGCTTTAAAAAATAAGCAAAAACTATCATACATGTCTTCACGGAGAAAAATATTATTTACAACTGAAAAAAAGAGAAACAATCTCCCGCTCCAGCAGGATTCGAACCCGCAACATACGAGAAAGTTTGGATCGGTCATATCTTTGCAATAAATGCATCAATCAAAATGATGAAAACATACTTAGAATTCTTAGAAGACTCTCTATTAACCCTGTAAATTTCAAAGAAAAATATTGAAAAACAAAAAAGTTGCAACTTTAACATTTTTGAATTCACTTCCGTTCGCGACCGGAAGTACGAACGACGAAAAATAAAGGTCGATCACCATATTTCCATTTGATGTTCTATCACGTCAGTGAGTTTCAATTTCATATCTTTAGCCGTTCTCGAGAAAATGAACGGACAAAATTCCATTAAAAAAATACAATTTTCCCCAAAAATCGCGAACGGAAGTGAATTTCAAAAAAGTGAGGGACACCCCATCTTCCCTGAAAAAATCTTTTAAATTGAACCACGCATAGCTGAGATATGGGCTGTACTATGAAAAAAAAAATAATAATAATAGAAAACAGACGGAAAACAATAAGGTCTTCCTTCGGAAGTCGGAGGACCTTAACTAAATGCGTTTCTTGTTGCTAGGATAACAAGTGGTCTTCCGACCAACTTTTCTCCAGAACGATATGTTACGTCATCCATAAAATACTTTAAAGAATTTTTTTTTTGTTTGCGTCCCTGTACTACAGTCTTTCACCACAGATCATGATTATTAAAGGTTTTCTACAGAATCTCTGAACAAAAAAGCTTTTAAAAATCGGCAAACACTACCATACATGTTTTCAAAGAGAGAGAAGTCATTAGCAACTGAAAAAAGAGAGAAACAAAGAAAAAAAATTAACTGCCTCCAGCGGGATTCGAACCCCAGACAGTGAGACAAAGTTTGGATCGGTCATATCTTTGCAATAAATGCACGCATCAAGATATTTAATAATATTTAGAATTCTTGTAAGACACTCTATAAACCCTGTAAATCCTAAAGAAAAATATTGAAAAACAAAAAAGTTGAACAATTGGACTTTTTAAATTCACTTCCGTTTGCGACCGGAAGTGCCGACAACGAAAAATAAAGGTCGTTCCCCATATTGGAATTCGATGTTCTATCTCTTCAGTGAATTTCAATTTCATATCTTTAGCCTTTGTCGAGAAAAATTCTGGACAAAATGCCATTTAAAAAATACAAATTTCCCCAAAAATCGCGAACGGAAGTGAATTTTGTAAAAATGAAAAACAGGTCTGGAGATATTCACTGATGCATCTTCCCTGAAAAAATCGCTGAAATCTGCATACTCACAGCTGATATTGTTTGTTTGGTGTTTAACTCTCTCACGAGAATTTTTCACTCATATGGAGACGCCACCACTTGCCAGTGGAGGGTTTCAACTTTATAAACTCGGCACTCAGAGCAGTGAGGGATCTTTTTTGTGGCAACACCTACTGCGACAAGGGAACTCGGTTTATACTATATCATCTGAAAGACCGGTCTCCACGTCCCGCAGTGGATTCGAACCCGCGACTTAAGGATCAGCTCCTCACTCCGCGACACTAGAGCAGACGCTCTAACCACTGCGGCACGCGGGCGAGTAATAAAAGAAATAAAAGAATTTAACAAGACTTTTTGTATAACAATACAAATAGGACTTTCATAGTTTTAAAGGTCAGATAGTCTTATAAATAAAAATTAGTAAAAAATAAAGTGTCTTATTCTATGTTCTTCAAAAACCAAGAGATTTTCATCAAGAGCTATAGCATTAGATTCAAATGAAAAATAATATGACGTATAAAGCGCTGCTTATTATTTCAGAAATGATTTTTATGCAAAATCATGATATGAAGTTTTTTTAACACAGAGAATAGGAAGAGTAATAATTTATTATCATAACATGAAATTTAGAATATAAGGTGTATATGAAAAAAGAACTATATAGTGTCTTACCTATTAAATTTATAGTAGAATGATTGATTGTATGTTGTTTAACGTCCGATTCGGTAATTTTTCACTCATATATACATGTAGAGACAACCCCACATACCAGTAAAGGGCTTCAAGTTTAGCCCTTAGACCTTTACTCGACACTCAGGACCATTGTACAATGAGGGAACTTTATCGTTCAAACGCCTATCGTGACACGGGGCCTTGGTTTTAAAGATCTTATCCGAAGGACCCGCAATTTTCACTTCAAAGTGCAGAGTTGCTACTTATTTTTTTTCGACTTAGGTCAGTTGCAGCCGGGGTTAGAACGCAGACCTTCCGATCACAGAGCGAGCGCAATTTCTATTAGAAAACATATTAAAGCACTGCTTCCATAGTCAGAATATGTTTTATGTGCTTGGTCGAGGCCTCTGCAGGTGGACTGTTGGTCCCCGAGGGTCTCTACAGCCAAGGAACCTAGTACTTCGGTACTAGCTTGAAAATACGGATATATATATTTATTTCTGTAGTAAAAGTATCAAAATTTATTTCAAAATTAAGGATTATCTCCCTCATGCATAGCTCTGATCCTTCGACGTATTTGGCTCTAGTCTTTGGCACCTTTTTTTCAGCTCTTCCAGGTCTTTTTATATTTAAATATTTTGGATTTTCAACGTTTCGGCTTGAGCATCACTGAAGAGACATAAATTGTCGAAATGCGCATCTGGTACATCAAAATTGGTACCGTATATGATTTTATATCAGAAAAGAATACGTTCATTAGCCAGTGATCTTCCTTATAATGTATTTTTAATGGACGAATATCTATGAATGTGAGAATATCACTCACATCAAGAAAAAACTTAGTCTAAGGTCCTTTTTATTATTTTAATTTTTTTAAAATAAATTTTAATTGTTAAAAGATTTTGCAGAAGCTGAATTTAATTCATGAAAATAATATAATCATTTCGTTTGAGGGAGTATTAGTTTATAACACAGTCACAGTCCTTTGCTTCTTGCACATACTTTATATACTGACAAACATCGTACCAAACTGTACATTGTAAAGTATTTCAGTTACTAAAGTTGACATTATATTCATTGGAAAATGAACAGAAAAATCTCTCCGTGGAGTTCAAATGATGAACATAAGTAAAATTGAATTATTGATATACAGATATTACACGCCTTTTAACAGAATGAAATTATTTATTTTCTATAGATAAACTGAAACTTGGTCATCGATCATCGTTAAAGTTTAACGGAGAGGATCTATATTTTTATGAAAAAGATGAAATTGAGTTTGATATGGTGCAGAATGATCTGCTCTCAAGCTGCCTAAAAGGAATAAACTTGAAGCATAGAAGATACATGGCTGTAACCCTTGTCATAAAAACATATGACAGAGTACATTGCTTCACATTATGTGGCTCACAAAATCCAACTCAGAAGCACTCAGACGATGGGTCTATTGGAAAATTGTGGAACATCCTGTGTAGTAAATTTGGTAAGTAAAGTTGAAATAAATAAAAGTTGAAGGTAGTGAAAGGTGATCAACAATTTCCATCGACTCAACATAGATCTAAATTGTCTTTAAGCTTGATATCAAGTTGCTGTTGTCTGCACCTGTTTACCAGATTAACATGAATTCAAATAATTAATCAATACTATATATATGTTTAATACATGTGATATTTCAGATATCATAAATGTCTAATACATGTGATATTTCAGATATCATAAATTCGATTATAGCACACAATATTTATTTATATCCCTTTGATACAAATATAGATATATATAAGCAAGTGTGTTGATTGATTGTATGTTGTATGGTCAGGTCGTTCAAATTATGACCCCTGGAGGAAGATTGACCAAAATGATCAATCAAAGTTTTATATAAAAATACATAGAAACAAGATGTGTTTGTGAAACACTGATGCCCCCGTATGGCAGCTTATGTCGAAGGTTAAAGTTTCTCAAATGCAAGTCAAAATCCAGGCCAAAAGATAAAAATTGTTGATACCCAAAGAAAGATCTTGTCTTGAGGAAAACATCTGTGAAATTTGAAAGACCTAGATACAACTGTTCAAAAGTGATGGTGAAGGTTAAAGTTTTTTAAATAAAAGTCAAACGTCAAGGTCAAGGTCAAAGTGGTTGGTATCCAAAGGAAGATCTTGTCACAAGGATTACATATGTGAAGTATGAAAGCCCTAGCATCAACCATTCAAAAGTTATGGCCAAGGTTAAAGTTTTTCAAAAGTAGGTCAAACTCCTAGGTCAAGGTCAAAGGGTCAAAGTGGTTGGTATCCAAAGGAAGGTCTTGTCACAAGGATTACATATGTGAAGTATGAAAGCCCTAGCATCAACCATTCAAAAGTTATGGCCAAGGTTAAAGTTTTCAAATGTAGGTCAAACTCCTAGGTCAAGGTCAAAAGGTCAAAGTCGTTGGTATTCAAAGGAAGGTCTTATCACAAGGATTACATATGTGAAGTATGAAAACCCTAGCTCCAACCATTCAAAAGTTATGGCCAAGGTTAAAGTTTTTCAAAAGTAGGTCAAACTCCTAGGTCAAGGTCAAAAGGGTCAAAGTGGTTGATATCCAGAGGAAGGTCTTGTCACAAGGAATACACGTGAAGTTTGAAACCCTAAGCACCAACTGTTCAAAAGTTATGGCCAAGGTTAAAGTTTTTCAAAAGTAGGTCAAAGTCCAAGGTCAAGGTCAAAAGGTCAAAGTTGTTGGTATCCAAAAGAAGGCCTTGTCACAAAGAATACACATGTGAAGTTTGAAACCCCAAGCTCCAACTGTTCAGAAGTTATGGCCAAGGTTAAAGTCTCATAAAATTTTGCAAAAGTGGGTCAAACTCCAAGGTCAAGGTCAAAAGGTCAAATATGATGGTACCCAAAGAAAGGTCTTATCACAAGAAATACACATGTGAAATATGAAAGTCATAGCTCCAATCAATCAAAAGTTATGGGCAAGGTTAAAGTTGACAACAGACAGACAGACAAACAGACAAACAAACAGACAAACAGATAAACAGACAAACAGACAGACAGGACAAAAACAATATACCCCCGGGATCTTTCGATCCGGGGGCATAAAAATCTTTTATAATCTTTTCAAAAAGAGCAAAGTCGTGTTCATTCATATTTATATGGAAGCATCCATGTGGCATCAATGGGCGATTAAAGTTTTACATAGGTATACATAGAAAAAATCTTTGAAAAAATCTCTTTCTAAGGAACAGCGAAGTCATGATTAGTCATTTTTTGTATTAAAAAAAGAAGATATCTGTGTGAAACACTGATGCCCCCGTATGGCAGCTTATGACGAAGGTTAAAGTTTCTCAAATGCAAGTCAAACTCAAAGGTCAAAGTCAAGAGATCAAATATTTTGTTATGCAAAAAAGAGACTTGTCTCATTCAATATACATGTGAAATATAAAAGCCCAGGCACCACCCATTCAAAAGTTATCGTAAAGGTTAAAGTTTTTTTTTAAAATGGGTCAAACACTAAGGTCAAAGGGTCAAAATAAATGGTACCCTGGGGAAGGTCTAGTTAGAAGAAATAGACATGTGAAATAGAAGCCCTTGCACCAATTGTTCAAAAGTTATGACGAAAGTTAAAGTTTTCAAAAGTAGGTCAAACTCTAAAGTCAAGATCAAAAGGTAAAAATGGTAAGCATCCAAAGGAATCTCTTGTCACAAGGAATATATCGAAATATGTAATCCCTAGTACTAACTGTTCAAGAGTTAAGACCAAGATGAAAGTTTTAAAAGTGAGTCAAACTATAAGTTCAAGGTCAAAAGGTCGAATATATTTATATCAAGGGAAAGGTCTTGTCACAGTGAATACACTTGTGAAGTATGAAAACCCCAACACCAACTTTTCAATGTTCGGAATTTTGTTTGCAAAAATGGGTCAAACTCCAAGGCAAAGTTCAAAAGGTCAAGTATTTTAGTACACAAAGAAAGGTCTTGTCACAAAGAAAGGTCTTGCCACAACTGTGAGATATGAGGGGCATAGCTCCAACTAATCAATAGACAAGCTTTTTTGAACACACAAACGTCCTGGTACTTGCAAACAAAATTTTTAATACTTATTAATTACTCATTTTAACCAAAGATAACAACGTCACTTAAATTGCATTGGCACAGTGAATCAAACTTCAAATATGTATCGTAATCAAGTGTTATGATGTTGAAACTAGAGTTTTCCAAGAAACACTTGCCTTATAGCATCATTGAAGATAATAATTTTAATACATAATACATTTTAAGGGTGGTTATTTATTTATCTGTTACTTATACATGTAGCAAACAAAAGAATACACAAATAGTAAGACCAATACAATAGCATTTACATGTATCGAATCTGACATTTAAATAGAAATATGATTCCCCAACCTTCAAAACCAAATAATAAAACTAAAATTATATATTAGAAATAATAATTTTTCATTTTAAAACAGGATAAATAAGTGTTTAATCCAACTATCCTCCAAAAGAAATTTTAGTCTTTCTTTACTGCAACATTATACAATTAAATTATTCTGTTTTTGAGGTCAATACAATGATTTAGCCACCTGAGGAGTACAATATTCACCGAGCCCAAAGGGCGACGTGAATATTATACTTCGAAGGTTGCTAAATCATTGTATTGATCTCAAAAATAGCAATAATTCTTTTATAATATGATTCAATGATTACATGATACAAACTCATTAGGCAGTTCATGCCCTCGTTATTTGTTAACATTTGCTGAACTCTAAGCCAAATGCAATGAAAGAAGCAGGGTTAAATAAACATTAACAGTCGTATCAATTCGATTATTTTAAATCTACATCAGATGAAAAAAAGAATAATTGTCAGGTTCTTTTATATGATCGTATTTGAAAAGCAGGGAAAATGACAGCTGAAAAATATCTTTGATTAGCCCCCAAGCAAAGAGAATTCTCTAATCTTCAGATATTCTTTTGGGGTTGGGGTGGGATAAGGGGTGTGGGATTTAAGTTCATTAGTTGGGGACCAGCCTTTCAATGAATAATTTTAGTCTACATTAATTTTTTTTTGGGGGGGGGGGTAGCAACCTCCAATGATAAAACGCCGCTTAATGATACAAATACATCATTAAGCGTTGCAATTGCAACGCTTAATGCCATAAATTATTGCATTAATAGTTGACATTCTCAACCGCTAATGCTAAATCGCCGCTTAATTATAGAATTATATCATTAAGCATCACAAATGCAGAGCAACACCGACGCTTAATGAAACAAGCAAATATCTGCATAATTGACGGTTAATGATACACACTAGTATATCACTAAGCGTTGCAGTCGCACCCTTTAATGATATAAAATTTAGAAATGCCTGCCAATAACTTAGAGAGTCATACAACCACCTTACCTTCTATCACTTGCAAAAACATTTATGTATGCCCTTGTGCTATAGAACATAGTAATTATTGGAGTTTTTCTATATTTTCATAGTCAAGGGAACTTCTTGAAGCTCCGGATATCCAAATTTACATCTCCTACGCAGGGTCCTAAATTAACTGTTTCCACGCAAAGAATTGTTTATTGATATCGAACAAAAAAATGAATTAAATAAATGTCATTGCAATAAGAACTCTTACGCATGGTTATTTTTGCAAACTAGACAGCACATACTGACAGATAGAAATGTTCAAACACTTTGAATCTGTGTTTTTTTTTTTTACTTGCATCTGTGGTACTTTATAATCATTGAATCAGATGACCTACTGACCAAGGAGAATCTAGAACACGCTAATAATGTACAGTGTAACACTTGCCGAGAATTGCACGCCTTATATACCGAAAGTCTTAGCATATCAGAGAATTGTTCTATAATGTATTCGAAATGATAGGAATAATTATTTCTTATATTATTCAAACGTGGTTAATTCTATTCGTTACACAGGCCCCTAGCAACGGTTACAAAAGTGGGGGGGGGGGGGAGGGGCAACTTCCTAAAAGAATCCAACAAACAAAAAAAGAGAGGTAATTTACTGTACAAATCCTGGAATTTGCCAGTGCTCGAAATTGCAACAAAAAAAGGGGGACAACCAGCATCTAAAGGAATAGCAAAATATTATACTCAGAAAAAAAATATTATACTCAGAAAAAAGTGCCCCCCCCCCCCCCCCGCGTTCTACGGGCCTGTTACTAGAAAGATTTCACAGCGATCTATTTCGGTATACCGTATAGTCGGTCTGCTTATCAGGCGGTTGAATTTTTTCAAATTAATTCGGAAGAATTAGTCATTGACCCGCTTATTTTGCTAAAATCTGTAGACAATTTCAGATGAAAAATCTTTTGTATTTACCAGCGCTTCTAAGTACATGTATATTTTGGGGCAAGACAGATATTTGAGTTTACTAACAATTTTAAAATGCACAAGGTCATTTAATTCTCTAAATACTAGTGTTACAATTATGATTGTGGTAACCTTAGATCTTCATTTTCTGCATTAGAATTGTTC